CACACACACACACACACACACACACACACACACACACACATTCCCTGCCACCTGTCTTCTTGTATCAGTGATTTGATTAATAACAGCTTCATTTCATAAGTTGTCTCCTGTGCAGTGGCATGGCACAGTTTGTAATAAAATAATATATATATATAGTGATTTTTTTTGGCAAAACAGGCAAACGCTTATTCTTGATACTGGTGTAAAAGTTGCTTGTATTCAGTCAAATCATATGCAGCAATACTCTAAAGAATAACAAGTCAGCACAGATAAAAAGACAAAAAAAAACCAAAGGAAGAGAAAGTTCATCTAGAGAAGTTACGTTTTCATAGGTTTAAAAGGTGGGGTTGACAGGTTATGATAGAAAATTGACTTTCATCATCATCATCATCATCATCATCATCATCATCATCATCATCATCATCATCATCACCACTTTATTGTCCCCATAGGGAAATTCTATTTGCAGAAGACAATTTCTCTTTGGCTTTGTTGAGCTTTATGTCATGTTTTAACCATACCATGCCATCTTTACTTATAGAGCGCTTTAAACACTCACAGGACCAAAGTGTTGTGCACATAATAAAACGTGCATACATTCATAAAATCAATTTAAAAAAAGGAAAATAAGAAACATGAAAACAACACTACAATTTGTGTTCAAAGGCCAGAGAGAAAAGATGAGTTTTGAGAAGAGATTTAAAATGTCACTCCCTCATCAAAAACATACCCAGAGTGTTGCTTTAACTCATCCATGCCTGTTTGAGATCCTTGAATCTCCTGCGGTAGCCATGTGGAGTTGCCTAAAATGCTTGCTGGTACAAAGCACCGCCTATTTTTACAAAGCTCCTCCCATGAGCTCAGTTTGTTGCTGAGCTCCTCCCCCACAGAACAGTTCTGAAAACATCATAGAAAATAGAGAAAACTGGATGAGTTAAAAAAAACTACTGTAAATACACTAAGAGAGAATAAATCCAACTTTTTGGAAATCTGCACTGCTAGAGACTCCATGTACACATAAAAATGCATTTAATTGCTAAAAAAGTGGATTTTGCAAATGTTCCCTTTAAATTTAAATGTTACAAAGCACTAGTTAAATTTAGTAAAAAGCTAGCTAAATGTAGCATAATACGAGTAAAATCTAAATGTAGCAAAACAGCTGGTTAAAAGTTAAATCAGCTTAAATTATGTAAAAAAAATCACTGTATGTTATAGAACACTGATTCCCAACCAGGGGTATGTGTACCCCTTGGGGTACGCGAGCATATTACAGGGGGTACGTGGAAAAATTTCCCAGGTGTGTAAAAAAATTTATTAAAATAGGACTGGGATTTGTAGGGCCCTATGATTTCCGCTATGTGGAAAACGCGAACGGATTCACAAAACTGACACAAAATGGAATCCAGTATAAAACACAAAATCTCACGAAATTTGCTCATTTGGGATATTTGATGTATTTTGGACGTTGCTGCCTTCTGCACCTGGTTTATTTAATTACTTAATTACACTTTCAAGGCAACATTTTTATCTTTGTGTTTAAATGGAGTTGAAAAGAATAAAATACCTGAAAATTAAACGTTCTACGGGGTTAATTAAATAATTTTCATTTAATAATCTTTAAACACCCCTCAGCTGTTGTACATTATAGTTTTGGAGAATCATCAATGTGTTTGACTCAAGGGGTACGACAAAATGGCTCAGGGGGTACACAAGTCTAAAAAGGTTGGGAACCACTGTTATAGATTACCAAAATTACATTGTCATATGTATAATACATTTATCAAACACTACAGGAAATATTTTTAATAAATCAGTTTCACAGTTTTGCAGATGTTTTTAATTAGCAGCTGATACCATCTAACAGTGACAGCCTGTTACAGTCAGTTAAATGAACAACATATTAAAAATTAGTGAGCGTACAGCCATCGCAAAACTGATTTGACCAGATTTTTTTTGTTGTGATTTCCTGCGCTTCTTTGTACCCAAAATAGCTGGTCAGCTGACTGCAACATGTCTGATCCTCTACTTGTTACTGACTCGCAGGAATAGTTGGACAAAAACAGGTGACTGACATCATTTTTATAGATACTCATCAGCACATCGTGGCTCCGCACACATCTCAGGGTGACCTTTCCAGAGGGCAGGGCACACTTTACAGTCAGTAACAGATAACAGTTTCTCAGTGGTTAAAATTAATCAGCGTGGCGGCCAGACTTGAGCATACTCAGGAAACTTTTTTTATTTTTGCCATTAACAAGCAAGGCCGCTGCAGCAGCTGTTGGGTCTTTTCAGTGAACCTCACTTCCTTGTATTCACAAGCTTCCTTCCTGTGGGCCAATTAGACTGCTCGTCTAAGTTTCTGGGCTCAGCTGGCTGACGGGCGACACCTCTACCACAGCCTTGACCTTCTCCACGCTTGTCACTATTGTTTGGATAAGTGGCACTCTGAGTAGGCTGAATCAGGGGACAGTGTAAGGAACAGGAAAAAAAAAAGGTCCGAGGACAAACAGTTTTGTTTTGACAGGTGTGGAAAAAAACGTAACATTTTATTTAAAAATCTTTGACCTGGACCATTTCCTGTGGGTCAGATGGAACATAACTGCACGGTGACACAGCTAAAACACAACATTCTACCTTCACAGTCACAGCCGCTGAGGTTTTTACACTTGCTTCTCTGGAGTTTTTTTTTTTTACCATGCTTTGCCCCCATCCATGTAATTTGACCCATGTCACTAAGTGCTGTCTGTCCTGTGAGGGGTTTTGTTATATATTGAGCAGCAGCCACAAGAACACAACTGCTCCCTCTGGAAACCGGAATAGATCGTCCTGATGGGTGGTGGGAAGAGCTGAATCAGCAGTCAGCAATAACCGTAGCCCCCTCAACACTCTTTTGCCCACCCTTTATAATCTCATCCTTCCTCATCTTCATCTTCATCACAGTATAGCCTTGATCAAGTCTGGAAACATGAAACCAGAGAAGGACTGTAAAAGGAAGAAAAGAGCAGAAAAAAATCAGGCGTCGTGTTGAAAAGTAGTCAAAAAATGTACACTTAACAAAACTACTACAAATACTTAATAAAAAAATATTTCATTAAAAAAATGAAACTAAAGGCAACACTGTTTGCTGTAACAGAACAAGTAAAGCTGTTTGAACTAAAAAGATAGTTCAGATCTTTTGAAGCAAGGTTCAGTGTAAATATGAAGAAATACTATCTCACCTGCTGCAGATATCTCATTGATCAAACTCAGCTAGACGAAATAGTGTTTAACCTTGACCAGACTAGAGCTAATGGCTTGTTCAAGTGTAAATAGCCGTCATTTTAAAACAATTCAACATTTCACGGCAGTTCATTCGAACAGCATTTCGTGGATTTTTACTTCGACATCAGTTTTGCACCTGAGACCAGTCCGGGGCAAACACAGGGACTGCTGGACATTGGCACCAGCTCCCTGTGAAAGGAGATGCCAGTGAAGAAGAAAAAATGGATGGATATTATTATTGCCAAAAAGAAAAAAAAACACATAATGTGTTTGACTACTGGCTCAAAGAGGCTCTCAGGGGAAATGTTTGCCATGCAAAATGAATACGATGAGCTTAAAGTGTGAAGCGTCTGACTCTGTTTCACATCACAGCCTTAACTAAATGCTAAAATACACCAAAGGGGCCGATTTGCTCAGAGACTGGACGTGAGTTGACTTCAGCATGCGTGCACATGGACATGCGAGACACCTGCAGGGTGTAAATCAGTTACCCGGGTCCACAGATCTGGCTCTCTCTGGCAGCTGGTGGTGAGAAAGAAGGGGAGGTGGGGGTGGGGGTCCCTGTGCTTTGCTTTGCTGCTTTGGCCCTCTGATGTCTCTGGTTTCACTAAAAACACTGTTAACACACAGTGACAGTGGGAGCTCATGGGGATGCTGCACGGAACCTGAACAGCGAAGCGGGCGTCTCGTGTTTTTGCATAAATAAACAGAGCAAACCGTCATCTTTCGATACTCCTCACCTGGCAGCAGGAGCCAGTCTGATAAGATCTGTTTTGGAGCTGCATGCTTCATGGCAATGTCACGCTTGTGTTTTCTCCTCTGTTATAACTCGCTCTCTGAGGATAGATGGATTATCAAGTCCTCATTCTTTTTTTAAGCCTGACTGTCGCTGCCCTCTGTAATTTTAGCCATCCTTTTTTATTATCTGTACATAGCAGTGGTGCATTGCAAAAAAAAAATCCAAAACAATATATATAAACAAATCTGTTTACCTGTTTGGTCTCTTACAACAAATGAAATCTTGGAACCCATAGTTAGGCTCTACAACAGGGCCTACAAAATTCATGAAAAACTTCCTGGTTGGACTCATCACTGTACAGTTCTTTCATTGTCTGATGCCTTGACTTTTCAGAATTATGTTTTGTATAGTGGTATTAATTTATATTTTCAGATCTTCGAAGGTGCCAATTATGGAACTCTCTGTGCATTGCTGCCCAAATCAAATTCTGGAATTGGTCATTCAACTAGATCTGTTACAAAAGGACAACTGATATTACCAACTTTTAAAAACTGTTATGGCCAGAGGTCTTTCTTCTATGTTTATACTAAAGCATGGAATGACATTCCTCAAAACACAAAGTCCATTTCAAAACTACAGCCCTTTAAGAAGAATCTTGTCTGCCATCTGCTGGACACTTTTTGTTCTGCTCATATTTAGACGTCCTATTTTGCAAATGCTGCCTTTTTGAAATTTGGTATGCTTGTTTGTCTTTGTGTCTATGGTGTATAATGATGTGATTGTGATGCTGTATTTCTGAGTGTTTTATGTGCTGCAGAACAGGATCACAATCACATCATTATACACCATAGACACAAAGACAAACAAGCATACCAAATTTCAAAAAGGCAGCATTTGCAAATTTGGTATGCTTGTTTGTCTTTGTGTCTATGGTGTATAATGATGTGATTGTGATGCTGTAATTCTGAGTGTTTTATGTGCTGCAGAACAGGAACCTGCTGTAAAACAGCAATTATGCTGAGTCAGGCTTGAATTTTAATAATCTTTTCCTGTTAAATAAATAAATCAAATCAAATCAATAATTCTTCAAAATTTAAATCCCATCATCTGGATACACACGTGCACATGCATGTGTGCACTAAGTTTGCATTTGCTTTTCCAAACAATCAACATCTCCTCCAACATGTCCGGACTTGTCTCAGAGGTATGTGGGTTATGTATTAACACAAAGCAGTTTTCAGGCACACATGCTATCAACACAAAGTCCAAAAGGTCTGCAGCCTTTAAATCCATCTGCCACAAGCGACCAGCATTACCAGCAGCGTGGGAAAGCCTCTCTGGAATGTCTTTAAGAGACACAGACTCTCAGATAAACACGTTTTCTTCTTCTACAGGTATATGAGCCACTGCAGATAATGAGGCCTAGCAGTGTGGAGCTTTTGTGAGCTGAATTTTGAACACAACCCGTGTGTTTATGAGCATCTTTCCTCATCAGTAAGCAGTGAGTACACACACTAAGAAGTGGTAATCAGGACCAATTATCCTCAGAAGCGAAGGGAGTCGAGTGGAGCATTCCTCCTCAGCACGACAACTGCTCAGCTCAGGCTTGATTAATGTCTGTCTGAATGAGTGGGAATTTAATGGAAGGGAATTGAGTTAGGGCACAACTTGAAATGAAGCTGATTACAGAACTGAGATGCTACCTTTATAAAATAATTAAACATGTTTTCCTGTTTTTTTGGTTTCTTTTTTGTGTGGGGGGGTCTTACAGATATAGTTTCTTCATAAACAAGTTCCTGTCACTTAAGATTAAGCTGATATAATTAAGTCAAAGTGTCCTTGACAGCACGGTATTGAAAGCTTTGCTTTGATTTTAACATAGAAGGTTGACTCTTTTCGCCAAAGGCAACACGCCGCCAGTTTTCCCACAGCACCACGCAGACAAACACACAAACACTGTACGTTTTTTGCATAATCACTTGAAAGCAAATGGAAATCGAATAGAAGCTTTGGCAGCCTGCAAGGATTTGGCTTTAAATTTATTTGTTATCTCACACCTTGTTCCAGGCAACTGTAAAGACAGTGAAGAGATTAATAGCTGGACGTGGACTTAATTGTGAAAATGTATATATTTTATCCCATTTAGTTTTGGATTTACTTTAATTCCACAAATCGTTATAATAAGCTTTCAGCTTTTCAAGGTGCTTTTTCTTGTTTTTATTTGAACATTCTGTTCATAGTTGAGAAATGCAGCATTTCACTGCATAATAAATTTCCAGACTCAGTCAGGGACCTTTGTATTAAGGCATTCCCTGCCTTTACCAGAATGTGTTTTGTTTAAGCAATGTGATTGATGGTATTTTCTGCACACAAAGCTTAAAAAGGAATAAAATAAAAAGTGGCATTCCTTGGAAAGTGTATTACCCAAAGCCTTGCACGTCAAAGTTTTAAATGCAGATTTTGCCTGAGCGGTTAGTGCTCAGACAGCATGTTGAGGATGACTCTCAGCAACCATTTGACCATAATGTAGCTAAATATTTGTAAGTATGACAGAGTTGTAGCTGGTTTTGTATTTGTGTTGGTTGATTAGCTGTGGCGGTCCTTTCAAATGACAACGAAAGCTAATAAATTGTAAATGTTCATCCATCTGTGAGTTGTGTTAAAATCTGACAAGTGGCAGGTCATGAGATATTTTGCTAATGAACACATACAAACAGGAAATTACATGATTGCCTACATTTCATGCTGTGGGCCATGAAAACATGCGAGTTAAGTGAGTCTATCAGGAAGTAAGCAAATTTATTCAAACATCATAAACATAATGTTCAAATAAACTTAATTTCCTAGTTTGTTTTGAATGCACAAAATTAGGGATGGACGATACATCGACATTAATATCAGTGTCGGTCGATATTGGTCGGTATAGGTCTGATATGTAAAACTGGGCCAATATTAACGTCCAATATTTATTTCCCACTTTTTATCTTTGTGTTTCTGTTTTGGGAGGGGAAATGGTTGTTTGAGCGGCATCGGTTTGATCATAGTGTTAGTGATGCTGTGTAGCCAGGAATAACTGAAGTGGGGTAGGGAGCCATGTCAGCGGTCTGGTTGTTTATACGGTATCAAAAAAAGACCCAAGTGTGTTATGTGTGTATATTTATAATATAATTTGTGTGTTTGTGTGATATCAGTAAATATCGGTTATTGGTAAAAACCAGACCCTGTCCTTCACTTTGCTTCGTACGAGGGTCTGGACTTGCTGAGTGGAGAAGTGATTCTTGCTGGAGGCGTGGCCTCTGCTGAAGTGTGTGTGTGTGTGTGTGTGTGTGTGTGTGTGTGTGTGTG